GGCACGCGCACTACCTCGCGGCCGGCGAAGATGTCGCGCAACAAGCGGTCCGCGCCTCGCACCTCGCGCAGCTGTCCGCCGCCGAGCGCGCGCATGAGGTCCTCCGCGCGAGCGAACTGTCTACCAGTCCGCTCACCCTCGCGCTGATGGCCATCTATGGGATCTGCCTTTCGTTCGTCGCCGACGGAAAACTCACATTCAAGTGGCTTTTCACCCGTGGTCGCGTCGGCATGGTTATCGCCACGATAGCCGGCGCGGGTGCGAACGTCGACGATTTCTTTGTACCGGTATTCGCGGGGATCCTCGCGCTTCTTCTCTCCGACGTCCTCTTCTTCGCGTTTATCCGGCCGATGTGCGTCCGCGCGCGGCGGGCTGCGGACGCCGCGAATTCCCAGCTCGAGCTCCGGCGCCAGCACGAGCTCCGCGTCGAAAACGCGCGCATCGCAGAGTATTGGCCGGTCGCCCCGCGCGCCACGTGGCGGCCCCGGGACCCGCGGGAGATCGCCGACGCCTTCAAGACGACGGCGGCGGGGACGGACGCGGCGCGGCATTCGTACCACCTCGACCGCGAGCTCGCGCGCGCGCGCGATGACCACGAGCAGCTACTCCGGGTCTCCGACTACGAGCAGCTGCTCCGGAGACGCGTGGCGCTCGTCTATTGGGCCGTTTGCTTAGTCGCGCGCGTCGCGGAGAGCGCGGGCCTCATCGCCACCGGCGCCGGCGGCGCCGCGGGTCAGATCTGGACGGCGCTGGTCGTCGTGGCGTCGACCGCGTGTTTTTTTGCGTCGCCGGCGTCCCAAGCGGCGTGCCTGCGGAACGCGCACTACCTCGTGGCCTGCTTTACGTTCGGGAACCACGCGCTCCGCGCGCTCCGTCTCACGCAGCTCTCCGACGACGAGCGCGCACACGAGCTCTCGCGCGCGCGAGCGAGCGCGTGCCACCCGCTCTACTACGTGCTCGTCGCCTTCCAGGGCATCTGCCATTCGTTCATCACCGGGGGCCAATTCAAATTGTTCCAGTACGGTTTCGCCGTCGTTAACGTCGGTCTCAGCCTCGCGGTGATTCGAGGCGCAGGGGCGGACGCGAGCGATTTCCTTACGCCGCTGGTCGGGTGGGTGCTCACGGTTCTCCTCGCGGACGGCTGCTTCTTCGTCCTGGTGCGACCGCTCTGGCTCGAGTCGCAGCGCGCCGCGGACCGCCAGCTCGAGATCCGCGTCGACCGGGTGCGCCGCGCGAGGGCGCGAATCGCCGCGGAGCGGCGGCAAGACGCGCCGCGGGAGCTCAAGGACTCGCCCGCGCGGGAGCTCGAGACGCCAGCGGCGGAGACGGACGCGCCGCGCGACCGCGAAAACTCCGAACCGTCGTCGCGCCCCGGCGACGAGGCCGCCCCGCGAGCCTGCTCGAGCTTCCTCGACGCCGCCGGCCGCCGCCAGGAGATCATGGTCGAAGGCGCCGACCGTGGCGTCCCGCTCCGCGTTTAACGACCTTAAACATCTAGGAAAGATAGGCGCCCTGTTTCAGCCACGGGTCGTCCGGCGACGCGATGGGCTCGTGGGCGCGCCTCCACCGCTCGAGGTCTGCCGATGTGAAGCGGGAGGTGTCAACGAAGACTCGCGCACCCGCTGGTATTGTCAGTAACTAGTCCAACGTTGTGTGCGCTGGCAGCTTCCGGAAGCTCGGCTGCTCGACCGTCCGGTGAAGACGAATACCCCGGTCGATCGGCTCGATGCCCTGATCGCACGCAACGGCACAACCAAGACTAAGAAGGGGCACGCTACCCGGGGTCGCTCGGGTCGGCGGCGGACGAGAAGACGAGGTCGAAGGCCGTCGGGAAGGGCCACGCGGTTCCGAGCTTCGCCTCGGCGTCCGCGGACAGCGCGGCGACGCGCGCCATGGGCCCCCGGCGGATGTCGAGGCAGCGCCGCGCCGCGAGGAACGCCTCGTCGCCGTGTCGCGGCTCCGGCGTGCGCTCCGCCTCGCCGTCGTCGACGCGGATGGCGACGACGCGGTCGCCGCCGCCGCCGCGGTCGCCGTCGTCGTCGTCCGAGTCGTCGCCCTCGATGGCGTCGGCGGCGGCGGCGAGGTCCGCGGCCGCGCGCTCCAGCGGCGCCGCGTCGTGGCCGCCGGCGCGGAGCGCGGGCAGCACGCGCGCGACCATGGCCGCGGCGACGCGGGCCTCGAGCTCGACGGCGACGGCGTAGGCGTCGTGGAGCGTCTTCCGCCACCGGTCCGCCGCGCCGTCCTCGGGGAAGACGCGCGCGAGCACGGCCGCCGCGCCGGGCCGCGCGAAGGCGCGCTCGACGGCGTCGACGCCCGACGGCGCGCTCGCGAGGCCCCGCGCCGCGGCCTCGGCGCGCCACTTCGCCGAGTAGCAGCTGCCGCCGTAGACGGCGTCGCGGCCCCGGGCCCAGAGCGCCGCGGCCGCGTCGAGGGGCCGCGCGCCGCGCGCGACGGCGGCCGCGACCTCGTCGAAGGCCTCCGCGAGGGCCGCGGCGAAGAGCGCGACGACGAGCGCGCAGTTCTGCGACGCGCCCGGCGTCCGCAGCTCGAGGCGGTTGCCGCCGACGTAGACGACGGGCGCGGACCGGTTGCGCGGCTCCGCCGCGACGCCGGCGCACCGCGGCAGGCCCGCGACGCCGAAGTCGACGACCCTCGACGGCGCCTCGAAGGCCGGCGGCCGCGCCCGGGCCGCGTTCGGGCTGTTCGGCGCCGTCCGGACGAAGACGTCGTCGAGGTGGGCGAAGAGCGCGTCGCCGAGGTGGAGGCTCACGACGGCCGGCGGCGCCTCGTCGCCGCCGAGGCGCGCGTCGTTGCCCGCGCACGCGCAGGCCGCGGCGAGGAGGTCGCCGTGGTCGCGGAGCGCCGCGGCGGCCGCGGCGACGGCGACGGGGAAGGCGTCGTGGCCGGCGTCGAACAGGTTCGCGCCGGCCGCGTCGACGAGGCTCACGTTCGCGTGCTTGCCCGAGCCGTTGCAGCCCGCGAACCTGCGAGGGCGCGACGCGCCCGACGTCGACGGCGCCGAGCTCGGTCGCCGCTCGTTTCGGCCGAGCGGTGGACGGGCGATCGTCGCTCGGAGACGCGCGGACGTGTTTCTCGGAGGGCGCGCGCGCGTCGGAACCGCCCTCGCGCGGCGCCGCCCTTCGACGGCTTCTCGTGGAGCAGCGCCGCGAGGCCCCGGCGCCGCGCGACGGCCTCGAGCACGTCCATGAGCAGCACGTTCGCCTCGTTGTGCCGCGGCGCCGGGCCGAAGCCGCAGACGAGCTCGTGCTGCCCCGGCGCGGTCTCGCGGTGCGCGACGTCGACGGGGACGCCGAGCGCCCAGCACTCCGCGCGGACCTCCGCGAGGCACGCCGCGGCCGCGGGGGACGCGCCCGCGTAGCCGTAGTCGAGCACGGCCCCGCACCGCTCCAGCGCGGGCCCGCCGACGAGGAGCGTCCCGCAGAGCGCCAGGTCCGGCCGCCGCGCCGCCGACGCCGCGGGCGCGAGGTAGAACTCCTGCTCGAGGCCGAGCATGAGCTCGACGGGGCCCGACGCGCCCCGCCCCGCCAGCGCGCCGAGCAGCCGGCCGCCCGCGGCGCCGAGGTCGTCGCAGGCCCGGTAGAGGGGCGCGCGCTGGTCGAGCACGTGGTCCTCGCCGACGCACGCCGACGCGTCGTAGTCCGCGAAGACGCAGGGCAGGAAGAGCACCGCGCCGCGCACGAAGCAGCGCGACCGGACGTCGAGCACGGCGCCGGCGCCGGCGTCGCCGAAGACGAGCGCGCGGCCGTCGAGGCGCCACGCCAGACCGCCGGCGGAGGGGACCGCGAGCGACTGCTCGAGCGCGTGCGCGGCCTGGCGCCAGCCGCCCGTCGCGCTGCTCCGCGGCATCGTCCACCGCGCGTACGCGACCGCGCCGCGGTCGAGCGCCCACGCGAGGAGCGCCGCGGCGACCTGGTCCGCGCGGTCGCGCGGCCACCCGACGTCGTCGAGCGTGCCCGGCGCGAGGCCTTCCGCCGCGAGGAACGGCGCCGCGCCGGCGCCGGCGAAGCGCCGCGCGCCGAAGCCGGCGACGGCCGCGCCGGGGGCGCGCGGTGCCGGCGCCGCCGCGGCCGCGACGGCCGGCGGCGGCGGCGCGTCCTCGGGCACCGCGGCGACGGCGTACTTCGCCATCGGCTTCGACGCGCCGCCGCCCATGACGGCGCGTCCGCCGCCGGCGGGCTGCCGGCGCTCCGGCGAGGTCGCAGCGCCGCGCGCCCGCAGCGGCGGGCTGCAGCCGCCGACGCGCTCTGTCACAGCAGCGCGAGTTCGGCGGCGGAGTTACGTGATCATGATACAACTTAGTTCAACCATAAAACTTTAGTCTGTTTGACTCGACAGTGGCAACAACAAGGACAAATCAATGGCTATTGAGTTGACGCTCAGAGCATGACGCGGCTGCTGAACCGCGCGTCGCGCGTCGCGCTGCGCGCCTCGTCGGCGCGCCGCGCCTTCGGGGCCGCGCCGATGTCGGCGTCGGACCGTCGAACACTCGTCGAGGACCTGGCGTCGCGGCCGTCGACGCCCCTGTCGCTGCAGGACATGTACAACGTCGGCGAGGCGCGCGACGCCGTGTCCGCGGCGACGTTCCTCCACGGCGAGCTGCCGATCCGCATGGCGCAGCGCATCGAGGAGCTCCGGGACCTGCTCGGCGCCGAGGGCGACAGCATCATCGACTACTACGAGGCGGCGACGGCGGAGATCGCGTCGTGCGCGCCGCCGGCGACGGCCGGCGCGGAGCGCGACTTCGCCGCCACGGTGACCGCCCTGCTGAGCGACCGCACGAGCGTGCCCGTGGCGCTCGCGGCGGCGATCCGGAAGCTCCACCCCTTCGAGCTCGACCGCGTCGTGCCCGCGCGGCGGCTCGCGCTCGACCGGGACCTCGCGCGCTTCTTCACGGCGCGCATCGGGCTGCGCCTCCTGATCGAGCACTACCTCGCGCTCCGCGAGCCGGGCCAGCGGGGCCTCATCGACCCGCGGTGCATGCCCGGCGACGTCGTGAGCGCCGCGGCCTACGACGTCGAGCGCCTCGCGCGCGAGACCTACGGCGCGTCGCCGGCGATCGCCGTCGTCGGCGACCTGGACGCGTCGCTGACCTACGTGCGGACGCACATGCGCGAGGCCGTCGGCGAGCTCCTCAAGAACGCGGTGCGCGCGACGCTGGAGAAGCACGGCGACGGGTCGCCGCTGCCGGACGTGCGCGTCGTCGTCGCGTCCGGGGCGTCGGAGATCACGATCAAGGTCGGCGACGAGGGCGGCGGCTGCCCGCGGTCGACGCGTCACGACATGTGGAGCTGGTTCTGGTCGTCCGCGGCCGCGCCGGCGCGGCGGCCCCTCGACGACGGCCGCGCGGTCGCGCGCGCGTACGGCGCGACGCTCAGCGGCATGGGCATCGGGCTCCCGATGACGCGGTGCCTCGCGCGCTACTTCGGGGGCGAGCTCGCGCTCCGGCCCCTCGAGGGCCACGGGACGGACGCGTACCTCCACCTCACGGTCCTCGGCGACGAGCAGTGCGAGCACCTGCCGCCCGCGGCGCGGCTCAGCCCCGGCGAGCTCGACTCGACGATGTCCGAGGCCTACGCCTACTTCGACGAGCGCGTCCGCTAGGCGTAACATATCCCGCCGGCGGGATATGTTAGGCGCCGGGGTCGCGCGGGATCGCGCGGCGTTCGGCGAGTTCGAAGCGAGCGAGCGCGGCGGCGAGCGAATACGGTCGGGGTCCCTAGCCGGCGTAGCCCGAGTAGCCCGTGCGCCGGTCGCAGCCGAAGTCGCGGTCGTCGCCGTACTCCTCGGTGCACTTCGCGAGGACGCCGCCCTCGCCGGAGGCCTCCCACGCGAGCACGGTGACCGTCAGGTAGCGCTGGACGAGGCTCCAGTAGCCGACGTAGAGCAGCGCGGCCTGCGCGAGGAACGTCGCGACTAGTCGCGGGCCGACCTGTGTGGAATTCAAATCTTCAACCCGACTTCAATGTGCGCGTATGCGACCGTTTCGACGCGATCTCTTCGGCGGTGCTTCGAGAACTCGACGAGAGCCATCGATTCGTCCAAACATCAGCCGAATCGACTTCGATGTGACCGAGCGAGAGAGTTCTGAAGTTTGGTCGGGACCCCCCGAACCGGCGGTCGATTTCCGCGCGGGGGCCGACGGCGCGCGCCGGGCCGTCGCGGACGGCGAGCGGGACGAGCACGGCCGCGTGGAACGCGAGGACGATGAGGTAGACGAAGAGCATGGACCGGATGAGCAGCGTGACGTGGTTGTCGCCGCCCGCGGGCGTGAGGCCGAGGTCCGCGGTGGTTTCGCCGTCGTCGTAGTAGAAGCCCTCGCCCGCGCTCGTCCGCTTCTGCATGGCGACGGCGGACCAGGCGAGGATGACGAGGGTCACGGCCTCGAGGAAGAGCGTGCCCCGCTCGAGCGCGCGCCGCCGGTCGCCCGGCGCGGGGCCGCCGGGCCCGAGGAGCCGCGCCGCGACCGGCCGCCAGACCGCGGCCTGGTCGACGGCGTCGGCGTGCGCGTGGAGCGCGTCGAGGCCCGCGACGGTCTCCATGTTCAGCGCGTCGTCGACGCCGAGGAGGAAGATGGACGCGAGGCTGTTGAGGATGACCTCCGCCGGGCCGTCGGACGTGCCGAGCACGAAGCACGACGAGTAGACGAAGACCGTGAGCTGCAGGGACCGGCACGTCGAGACGACGTAGGCGAGGCCCAGGCGCCAGAGCGGCGGCCGGCGCTCGCCGCCGGCGCCGCCGCGCGGGTCGAGGAGCGCGAGGAGCTCGTAGCCGACGAGGAGCCGCGTCGTCTGGATGGCCCCGAACTCCTGGCGCCGGATCTCGAGCACGATGAGCACGCTGCAGAGCGCGACCGTGACGACGGTCGCGGCCGGGCAGCCGAACCACTGGACGTCGTAGATGTAGGAGAAGTACGTGGGCTCGGACCGGTTGCCCCAGCCGAAGACCTCGTCGTCGTCCCAGACCATGGTCACCCACGCAAAGTCCACGATGCCCAGGAGCGCGAGCATGACGCAGGCCATGACGGCCATCGCCGCCGCGCCGTGCGCCGCCGCGTAGGCCCCGGGCACGCCGACGTCCAGGAGCGCGGCCGTCGTCCAGCTGTAGTAGTCGTCGCGCGTCACCGCCGACAGCGCCTCGACGAGCGCTTCCTCGCGCGCGCCGTCCTCCGCCTCGTCCTTGGCGGCGACGGCGACGACGTCGACGGCGGCGCTCGCCTCCGCGCGCGACTCGCCGCCGGCCGCGTCCTCGAGCGCCGCGACGCGCGCCGCGAGCGTCGCGAACGCCGGCGACTCGTCGCACGCCTCGCCCGACGCGGAGAACATGCCGTCGGTGCAGCCCATGCTCATGGCGGCGTAAAAAATGCGCGCGTCGCCGACGCCACGATGGGCGGCGGCGGCGCCTGCGACCTCGCGCGCTAGGAGGCGCCGCCGCGTGCAGGTCGCGGGGCAGCCGGGATGGATCGACGATTTCCTCGTGACACGAGAAACTCACGAGATGCAAGTACTTGATGCAGTTCAACCTGGGTTGATTATCCAAAAGAGCCGAATTAGGGCGCGTCGGCGCCGGGCCCCGTCGCGGAGGGAGCCCGGCGCCGGGCCGCGCCGCGGTGCGCTGCGGGTCGGGCGACCCCGCGCTTTGGGGGGGGGGGGCGTCCGCGCCTAGTGGAGGCGGACCGCGGCCGCGGCCCGGAGGGCGACGGCCTCGAGCTCCGGGCTGTTGACGGCGAGGGACGTCGAGAGCGACGCGAACTTGCCGCTGAGCCGGGCGACGGCGTCGCGGTAGAAGGCCGGCCGCGTGGCCGCGGTGTAGGCGTGGCGGAGCGCGAAGTTGAGCGCGGGCGAGAGCTGGGACCGCCGCGCCGTCGCGGGGAACGCCGCCGCGGCGAAGAGCTCGCGGGCGACCCGGGGCCGGACGCCGACGCCGAAGCCGAAGCCCTCGTCCAGGTTCGCGACGGCGTGGGGCCAGAACGACGGGAAGACGAGGAGGTCGCCCGGGCCCGTGACGATTTCGACGAAGGGGACGCGGCTCTGGTTCCGCGGGTCCATCATGAAGCGGCAGCCCGCCGTGAAGCCGAGGCAGATCGGGCGCATGAAGGGCGCGTAGTCGGGGACCGTGAAGTACCACCGCTTCCGGTTCGCGACCTGGAGGAACGCGTCGGCGACGGGCGCGTTGTGGAGCTGGGCCCAGTGCCAGGCCCCCCCGGACACGAAGGCGTGGTGGATGGATTGGTCGACCTCGGCGCCGAAGCGCGCGAGGGCCGGCGCCTCGAGGAGCCGCGCGAGCGCGCCGGTGACCGCGGCCCGGAGCGCCGGCTGCTTCGCGAGGAGGTCCGTGAGGAAGCCGCCGTAGAGCCGCTCGCCGCCGACCATGCGCTCCACGGCGTCGTGGAGGTGCAGCGTCGCGGCGCTGCCGCCCGGCGCCTCGCCGAGGTGGCCCGTCGCGAACGCGTGCGTCGAGTCGAACGTGTGGTTCGCGAACGACGCCGCGTCGCCGAAGTCGTCGAGGAGCCCCGCCGCGAAGCCCCGCACGACGACGAGGGGCGGGTCGTCGCCGAAGGCCGGCAGCGCCGCCCGGACCTCGTCCCAGGTGCCCTCCACGACGGGCACGGAGATCCGGGGCAGCGGCGCGGACGACCGGCGGCCGCCGACGACCGCGGCCGCGTCGGGCGCGCGCGACAGCCAGAGGACGCTCCCGAGCCACCACCGCAGCGCCTCGGCCTGGAGCGCGAGCGGGAAGCGCACGTAGGCGCGCCGCGACGCGACGGCGAACTGCGCGAGCCAGACCGCGGCACCGACCGCCGCGAGCCGCCAGAGCCCGAGGCCTCGCCGCCGCCGGCCGGGCTTGTGGGCGACGGGCACCTCGGCGCGCCGCGCGAGGTCGGGGCACGACGCCACGGGCCGCAGCCGGCCCCGCGGGCTCGCCGGGAGGAGCAGCATGCCGCTGCTCTTCAGGGAACGTTTCAGCATGGGGCAGCTGGAGCCGACCGCCGGCGTCGGGCAGCCCCGAAAAGCCGCGCGCGCCGCCCCGGACGGCGCGGAGTCCGCTGCGGGGGCGCCGACGACCGGGGCGGGGAGCTCCGACGACCGCGGCGAGCACCACCGCCGTGTGTTCTGGCGGCGGAATCCGAGCTTGGTCAACCAAGTGTTCCACTAAAACGATCCTCAGTGATTCCTCACCAGCTCACCTAATTAAAAGTTCATCAAAGGCCTCAGCGTCGCAACTTGAACCGGTGCACCCGGAAAGCTGCCCGGCGCGCTCTGTAGGGGCCGAGCGCCCTTCCCCCGTCCTAGGCGCCGGCCATCTCGAGGACGTCTGGCAGGTCCTCGTCCGCGGGCCGCGTCGGGAAGGGCACGTCCCCCGCGTCGTACGCCGCGGGCGTGACCTTCTTGACCGCGTCCGTCACGCGGACCCAGGTGCCCTTGGCGCCGGGCACGCAGCCCCGCACGAAGAGGAGGTCGCGCACCGTGTCGATCTTGTGCACCGTGAGGTTCTGCGCCGTCCGGTTTCTGCCCCCCATGCGGCCCGCCATCTTCTTGCCCTTGAAGACGCGGCCCGGGTTCTGGCAGCCGCCCATGGAGCCGTGCGCGCGGTGCGTCTTCGACACGCCGTGCGTCGCGCGCTGCCCGCCGAAGTTCCAGCGCTTCATGGCGCCCTGGAAGCCCTTGCCCCGCGTCGCGCCGCGGACGTCGACGAGCTGGCCGGGCGCGAAGTGCGCCGCGGGGACGCGCGTCCCCGGCGGCAGCACGGCGTCGGCGCTCACGCGGAACTCGGCGAGCGTCCGCGCGAGCTCGTAGGGCGTGCCCGCGACGGCCTCGCCGCCGTGCGCGCCGCAGTGGCCCGCGTGCGCGCTGGGCGCGTGCTTGGGCTTCAGCGCGCCCGCGCCGAGTTGGAGCGCCGTGTACCCGTCGGTCGCGGCGTCCTTGACCTGGACGACGCGGCAGCCGTCGACGTGGAGCACCGTCAGCGCGTGGCGCTGGCCCGACGCGTCCCAGGTGCCGAGCATGCCGACCTTCACCGCGAGCGCCCCCGTGCGCCGCTGCACCTCGCCGCGCCGCGCGGAGAGGCGGCCCGAACTCTGCGTGAAGCGCACGGCCAGCGCGCGGTGCGGCGCGCGCGCGGCGGCGAGCGCGCCGCGCGACCAGGCCAGCGCGGCCA